AGCGGTAGGTTTACGGGCTTAGAACGATAAAATGATGAAAGCTGCTTGTAGTAAAATAATTCGTGTAATTGGACACTTGATTTTAACGTAATGATGAAAGCTGCTTGTAGTAAAATAATTCGTGTAATTAGACACTTGATTTTAACGTAATGATGAAAGCTGCTTGTAGTAAATAATTCGTGTAATTGGACACTTGATTTTAACGTAATGATGAAAGCTGCTTGTAGTAAAATAATTCGTGTAATTGGACACTTGATTTTAACGTTCTTATTTTTAACGTTTCCTCAGCGGTAGGTTTACGGGCTTAGAACGATAAAATTCAGGGTCCGGTTCCCCGTGGTGGACAAAGCGTAGTTAGCCTATTGTGAAGCTTTGCGCTAAAATATCCAATCGAGTTTTTAACGGCTTTCCTTGGAAACTTTTTTAAAACTAAAAGAGAATTGAAACCCAACTACTTAATCTATACATTTTAGAATAGATTCTTTAAAAGAATTATAGGAGCGTGCTGATAAAGTGTTATCGAAATCCAACGAATATTAGCTGTTTCGGTTTTATTCGTTTCAGTCGCAAGTTAGTTTTCATCTCAACATTATATCAATGAATGAAGATAGATTCAAAGGGCTTGAATGTTTGGACACAGGTCAGTAGAAACGTGGCACATCTTAACATTATATCAAAGAAGGTAGATAAAATCAGAGATACCAAATGTCTGGACACAGGCCAGGTAAGAGCTTGACACATGTCAACATTACACCAAGGAAAGAGGCGAAAAATCGAGAACTTGTATATTTGGATATAAATCATAAACTTGGAATATCTAAATATTATGTCAACACAAGTATAACAAATTAGAGGATTTGGATGTTTGGGCACAGGCCAGATATAAACTTTCCACTTCACAACATTACAGCAAAGAAAGTAGAGGATGGTAGAAGTCTTACATGGCTGGATTAAGGGTGTAGTGGAGACGGAGCAAGCTCCGGTGCCTTACATGGCTGGATTAAGGGTGTAGTGGAGACGGAGCAAGCTCCGGTGCCTTACATGACTGGATCAAGGGTGTAGTGGAGACGGAGCAAGCTCCGGTGACTTACATGGCTGGATCAGAACTGTAGTGGAGACGGAGCAAGCTCCGGTGTCTTACATGGCTGGATCAGGGGTGTAGTGGAAACGGAGCAAGCTCCGGTGCCTTACATGACTGGATCAAGGGTGTAGTGGAGACGGAGCAAGCTCCGGTGACTTACATGGCTGGATCAGAACTGTAGTGGAGACGGAGCAAGCTCCGGTGCCTTACACGGCTGGATCAGGGGTGTAGTGGAGACGGAGCAAGCTCGGTGCCTTACATGACTGGATCAAGGGTGTAGTGGAGATGGAGCAAGCTCCGGTGCCCTATACGGCTGGATCAAGGGTGTAGTGGAGACGGAGGAAGCTCCGGTGCCTTACATGGCTGGATCAGGGGTGTAGTGAAGTTTATCAGTTTCATAGGGTTCAGCTGCTAATAATTATTATGTGTATTTAAAACGTTTTCTAGATAGAATTTGTGCCATAAGCTATATAGTAATAAATATAATTAATAATAGACTCGTATTTAAACTGCCTAATGTACAATGTAAGTGCAAGTATTCAAAAACACACTTTTGCCAAACAACGTGTGTGCATGTTTCAGTCAGCGGAAGAGCCTTCCTGAGTTCCCATACAAAATATTTAGTTTTACCAGAAACGCCCGCTTTTATTACATATATATATATATATAATTAAACATAAACATAAACATTATAACATAAAACATAACACGTGTGTGTGTAGTGAGAAGTACTTTTTAAACTTTATTAACTGTAGAAAAAATTAATTAATAGTAGGGATGTACGGACGACGTCACCATATACGTTAAGGGGGGTGTAGATAGCACTGTGCATTATAAAGGGGAAATGTATTTGGGGAATGGATCTGCCATCCTTCAGAACCTCATCTCAGATAGGCGTGTTTATGAATTAGGGTTTTGTGTCTGAATGTCTTCTTTTTTTTTTATAGACACTTAGAGTACCGGTACCGTCACTCTGTTATGTAGAAATCTGGGAGCAAAGTCACTGAGTTTTAATACTTGCTTCTGATACTCAGGTTTTGAAAGTGTCACTAGATCTGATGTCTCGTACTAGATAAATCAATCGGTTTGTCGGTTTTGGTCAGATCATTGGGCTCAGAGTGTCTTTTGTTCTAGAGGCGTTTGGTTGATATAACATGTTGTGAATAGGTTTAACCCATTTAAGTTTAACCGCACGGTTATCAGAATCGTTCAGAAATCTACGTACTAATCTCATATGCGAGTAGACTAGACTGGTCACATAACTGTTTTAATTATTCTAAATACACAGCATTTATGCATCTTATAAAATCTGTGTATCCAAATACAAAACACCATAACCGAAAAAAGTGGTTCACATACGACGCACGATTTTCCCCTCTAATCAAGTATTAAATGAACTGCAGAACTTTCAGCCAGTCAAAATCAGCAAAATAATCTGAATTCAGCACAGCTTTTATCTAACAAGGAGCGGCGATCTGGTATTAGTATTCCTTGAAAATCAAGATAAGTCGTGGTAGAGTTTTAACATGTACATTGCTATAGAATATTAACATACACATCAGTCAACGGTTTGTTGAAATTGTTCTTAACTGTCCCAAACAAACGCACAAAAAAATCGAGTAGAACAAAAAACTAAAACATGGTACAGATAAATTGATAAAACCATACAAAAATGCTTACATAAGTATCCAGTAAGTACTGAGTCAATCTTACAAGTTTATGGTTATTAGCCACTGTAAGACTGTATAGCACTATTCAGTTTAAATGCTTTTATTCAAACCTGAAGTCATGCAATTGCCAGGAATTCATCATTTAGCTATAGATAAAAGTTATTCTTGGAAAGATTTAGCTGTTTATGTTATGGTTTTGTGTATTCATCCCTACACTGTTTCTATACTTTATGGCATTGCCATTTCTAGATCATTCTTAATTTTTGCTAATTTTATTATTACTTGTTTACCCTATTTTCACTGAAGTAGTTTGATAAGTGAACATATTTTTTTTATAATTCAATAGCAATATATATTGTTAATATCATATCAGTTTTGTCAGTTTTTCATTTTACTTATAGAATGACCTCAAATATTGATATTATACCATACAATGGGCTACAGTAGATTATTATTGAGACTTAATGTTGAGGAACCTACAATAAGAAAAAAAAAACCTAAAAAATATGTATAGCTGTACCGTCCCTATATTCATGTTTCCATTATTTTTGGCACTGCCATCCCTACATCATTTTACATTTACAAAATGTTTTTATTACTTGTTTTGTGACGTTTTTTACCCTGATTGAAATTTAGTGTATTCTATGATTGCGTGTAATAAAATTTAATATTATGTGTATTGATTTTTTTTACTCCTTCACTTCATACTTAATATAGGGGTTGGCTCCCTAAAGACATCGATTGTATAGTGTTCAAAGCATCAAGTACTTTTCATGTTACAGTTGTCTAATGTTCATCTATTATTGGCTGGTAATTGGCTTTTTTAAATGAACACCAGATTTCTGTAAAAACTAACTTCAAGAGGTAATGATAACATTGTTTACATCAGAATTATGATTTTTTAAAAATATTACTACTAGTTATTACGACCAA